ACAGATACGGACCGACAGACTGCTACGCGAAGAAAAACACCTTTGAGAAGAGAAAGGGGTTATTTAAAAAGTACGCTGAATCACATGGGGGAGAAAACGGCTGCTGCACTCTGCGGGTTAACACGTTCGATGGCGTTGCACTTTCTGGCCACGCTCCATTCAATTAGCGAGGCCACAGCAGGTGGTCCTCCTTTGGGAAACACTTGTTGTGATGCACAGAGTAGAGGCCGTCAGATGTGCAACCAGGAAGAAAGTTTTAACGCACAGAGGGAAGTGGAGTGACGTTTTTTTCTGCCTGACGTGATTGTGTGCATTTACATTAATGTCCAGGTTTGAGAACAGATTCTGACATTTTTAAATGTACATCAGAAAGAAAAAAAAAACTCTGCAAAGGATTATCATAATAATCACAGTTACAAATCAATCTATTATAAATACTAGCCTCTTGCTTTCTCTCCTAAGTCAAACCATTTAGTATGGATTTACCGAATGTTTATCATTATCATTATCATTATTCTTTTCATTCTAGTGTGATAATCTTGATTTGACAAAGATATTAAGGCCCAAAAAAGAAATTCTGTACTGATTTGCAAAAGTGCATGATGGTCGTTTGGCCATTTCATCTGTCTTTCATAATCATTAAAGCTCTACATGGATACCAGATCCAGCCTTTAACTACAAACAGGGCGTTATTGCAGACAAACAAAAAAACAGATTCTGCAGTGGATACAACACTGCGTGTTTAACATTCAGCACAGCGAGCCTTCTCAGAAAGCTTTGCAACTGTTATACAGGTTTCTTTTTCAAGAAAAGAAGTCTCCCAAAATGAGATCAAATGACCTTTCTCCCAACAAGATCTGAGACAGTAAGCAGAGAGCAAGTAAAGGGAGGTCTGTCCAGTGCCCCCCCCCCACCACCACCTTTGTGTGACTATGCAACAAGCTGCATATAACGGGTATGGTGGCAATATAACAGAGATGTGTTTATGTCCAGATGAGGTGGAACCTTCAAGTTCATCAAATTGTTTTGTTGTTTTTGTATTTAAATAAATGATCTGCTGCACTGAGAAAACAAATAGAAACATCAACAGGAACAACAAAAATAATAACAATAGTGACAATCATAAAATAAAAGCACACAATATTCAGGATGGCCTTTTGCAAAAGTGCTTTTGTTACAATCGCAGAAGCTGAAAAAAAACAAAACAAAAAAAAAAACAATAATAATTAATTAATAAAAAAAATTGGATAGCGGTCCGCCGGGGGGGGGGGGGGCCTTTTAAACCGTCTGTCTACATGTCTGTCTGTCACACAGTGGAGGGTTAGCCAGGCTCGACGGGCTGACTTAAAACAGCCAACTGCAAAAAGTTGACCATTTCCTCCGGCCGTCTGCATCCTTTACACCGTGCCAACAACTCCAAAGTGGGAATCACAGTATGAAGTTATGGAATGTATCCTAAATTAGTTTAGGTGACTGAAAACTGACAGCCGTGTCTCCCTCCGCACATCAACCGATTCCCTCTCCCTCCTGTTCTCTCCTGCCGACTCCCCTGCTGAGGGTGTGTGATCTTTGATCAAAGGCCAAAGATGTAGACTCTGAGTCCGGAGAGAGGGAGAGCAATGGGAGAAGAGAGTAAGAGAACATACACCCCCCCCCCAACCCCATCTCCTTTCAAAAATGTTACAGTCTGACTAATAAGACTGAATCTCCAGTGGCTTCCTTCCCTCCAACAAACAATTCACTGGATCAATATCAGATGGTGAAATAGGCCGGTCGCAGCCACTTTACAACGAGGGAACTGTTCCTGCTTTCATCTTTCTGGGAGCTATTATGTTAAATATTGGTACGAGCGAGAAAGGCGAATACGGAGAAGTAACTTGGTGGCTGATATACCACAAACCTAGCAGACATTGAAACCCAATGCATAGCAGTGTATTTTCCACCTGAGTAGTACTTACATTGAGACAAAAGAGGTCAAAATCTGTGGCGACCTCCTTTGTATTACAATTCTTATCATATTGTGGCCATGCAATTCCTACCAGCTTAGAGGACCAGCGCTGAACCGTGGCTCAGTGAAGAGTCACCTGGATCAGCTGGGCTTTCTATCCCTGAAAAACAACATCCAGCTTTCCCCTACCACCCGTATTTAATCCTCCTCCCTGCATTGCCAACCTTTTGCCTCCCCAGAGACTGAGAGAGACTCCAAGTGCAAACTGTCCCCACTTGGCTGAGAGCAGCCAATAGACAGCAGCCTGCCTCTCTGAAGGACCCAGGGCTGTCTGTGTAAGTGCCAGAGCCACGCTGCGCATACTGCCGTACTGCATATGCTGCGCTCAGCTTGCTGTGCATCAAGAGCCTGATGGAAAACGCACAAAAAAAAAGAAGAAGAAATTCAGGTGTGCAGGAAAATGAGGAAGCAAAGCAAATAGTCTGCTGCCACCAATCTGCGTATTAACAGTCACCCCGTCCTGCTTCGCTTGATTATTTACAGTTACAATTGTTATCATAGTTGTTGGTCGTCTTTGTTTTATGGCCTTCTCAGATAGATTCACCAAAGCTCTTTGATAACAGCATAGGAAAGGAAAACAAAACAAAACATATCAAGGTCAATCTGGAAAACTCTTGCAATGAAGTTGTGAGACCGTCTCCGTGTAGCCTGGGTCAGAGTAACCTTGGTCTGGGGCTGAGGCTGGGGACACACCAGTGGATCCAGAGAGAGACAAAAGCTCTGAAGTAGTGGCTCGTACAGACACATTATCATAAATTCATTCAAGTAAAGCTTAAACCGCTAAATTATCCTTTTATTTTAGTACCAAGCCAATCAGCTTTTACAATTAATTTTTAAAATATGGAAAGAAAAGTGTTCATGGTGAAATAAATAAATAAAGAGAAGTGAGCTTTGTCAGTTCCTGCCCACGTAAGGCACACTGTGGCCCTTGATGTTTGTGTTGTCCACCTGGTGGGAGTGAGCCTCAGCCCCACACTGCACAATACAAGTGTCTGGAAACATTAAAACAAAAAAGAAATAAAAAGAAGCTTAGTGCTGCTCAGACAAGGCCACAGAGTCCCAGTCTGCTTCAACTAGAGAACATTTAAATTCAATTAAACCTTTTCAGAAAGTAAACTGAATCCATCCAGCTCGGCAAATGATGAAAATAACAGTGTTCAACAATACCAACAGTTTTCATTATCATTTCATATCATCATTCATCAGTTGACTTAATAGGAGACAAACGTTGACAAAATCCCATCATCATCTAGAATTTCAATAACTGGATTTAATATCTCTGGCACCTGCACACAGACGCACCTCGGCCATCGAACGAGGACAAAATCTAAATGTTTCAACAGGTTTCGGAGGCTTTGCTACGTTCCAAGTGCCTAAATGTTGTATATTTGGAATATTTCTTTACAAGAAGAGCAAATACAATTTGCAGTTATCACACCATTGTCCATCAAAAGATCTCTTTTCAAGAGCCTTCAGACTTAATAAAACTCTATTAATCCAACGTGAGATTGGTAGCTTAAAATGTCCAATGACTTTAACGCAAGCCATTTCTTCTCCTTTGGTATTTGTTGTTGTTGGACGTCTGTATATTTCTTGATATACTGTACATGATTATATCTATGGAGGGGTTGGATGGACTCTTTTAGAGACCGTTGAGTATTAACCACACTGCTCTGTGCTCATGGAAACTCGCAGGCCTTTCTGAGGTCTCCTGCCATTCTCCCATAAGCAGGACAAGGACATTAAACATTAGTGCAAACTTTTGCTCTCTCAGCTAAAGCACCATTTCCAGTGCTATCAGGCTTTATATCCATAACCCCACCCAAGCACCCATTTCCCCCACCCTCCTGGCACAGCAACCCAAAACCATGACCCCCCCAACCCACGCACGCACACACGCACGCACGCACGCACGCACACACACACACACACACACGCACACACAAGATTGTTAGAAAACAATTGTAGCACAACACGTTATTTTAAGAAAGAGTGTAGACGGACAGAAAAAAACCTCTACCTCCTTAAACCTATGATTCTATTGTCTACAAGGATACAAAGAGCGAGAGAAAGCAAAGTTAATATCTGTATAATTTCACACACACATGTCTGCATATGTATTCAAGAGGAGGACATCTGTGTGTGGTTTTAAGTCAGGTAGGCCCAGTCTGGATAAATTATAGACACACTATCAACATCTCTACCGTCGACTAAGATTGAGGGCAAAAAAAGCTTTGGTTAATTAACAAACATAAGACTTTTGGGGAAGATATTAAGGTCCAAAAAGAGTTTAAGATGGCTAACAGGTCTTACCTTCTGCCACATCAAGACAAAATTGGTTTAAGCATAAAGAGCACATTCCCAGCTTGCATTGGTCTCCCTGTGAGCGTCAAACTGTGCATTAATAAACCGCCATCTTTATCACAACAGAGGAGCAAAAATAGAAACTGAAACTCTCAAGACCTAAGCCAACCCCTGACAACGACCAACAAGGGTAAACAAAGAGTTATGCAAATCTGCACCGAGAGAGCCGTGAAGTAAACAAGCAACTGTCCAATGAGTTGTTTTACAATATGGTATTTCTGCTCGTGTGGTGCCGCGGACCTATTATCACTGTGGTTCCTCGGAGAACACCTGTAGTTATGAGAGTAGCTGGTGAACAGATGGGGCAGACGCAAAGTTTGTTTATCCAAGCTTGTCCTGAGACCCTCCAGCCCGCCAGCCAGCAACACATGCACATAAAGAAGACATGAAGACACACACACAGTGTCCTATCTTCTTCTTCTTGTCTGTCTCCTCCTTCTACATTTAAGACACAATCTCTACATTCCAGCAACAACTAACTTCAAGTTCTATCAGTTACATGGATCCATTTAGTCTTTTCTCAAGGTGACAAACCCAAACGTGTTCGTATCGGAGCCTCTCTTAGAGACCTGAAGTAGTGAATATTTCAGTTTTCTGATGATTTTTTTTTTTTTTTTTTTTTGGCAGCTTGTCTTCAAAACCTGAACAGAACCAGTGGAGGAGTTCAACTTCACCACCACGGACAGAAGAAAGGACTGATCTCATTTGCAACTGGTTTGTTTCAAAGTACCCGTTTCGTTGACAAAAGTGTCCTCCTCAATAACAAAGTGCATTCATAACCTGGCTCTATCCAATTAAGATGCAACGGACTGATAGTCAAACTACAGCTCAACTGCAAATACTACAGGGTGCAATGGGGTGGGGAGGGTCTCTCGACTCAAAATGTGCTAGTTTTGCACAATAACACAACTTGGAAAGACTTACAAATCCAGAGTCACAGTCTTTTACAACATTCAAACGGATAGATCAGCTCTGGTGTTTTCCCCCCCTTCTCTACAGGATACCTGGACCCAGTGAGCAGAGTGTGTGTGTGTGTGTATGTTTGTATGTGTGTGTGTACGTGTGTGTGAAAGACAGAGAAAGTGCATTGGGGCTGGCAGCTCAGGGTGCATGTTTGAACAGGCCGTGGCTGACTCACACAGTGATGATGTGGCCAGAGCGACCCCGGCTGCCACGCACACACACACACGCATGCACACACAAACACACTCGCACACTAAACTGCCAGCACCAGGCGTCCCACCCACAGTAACACCAGGCTCTAATATAATAATATCCCCTCCAGGCTAGTTCGGGGGCATTAGAGGACTACAGAGGGAGAGAAAAGGCCTGATTTGATCCCCTCCTGCCTGGAAACGTGGCTGAGCTGGGGGAGATTATTTTTTGGAATGCAACAGACATTGTGAGATCCCCCTCCCCTTCCCTTGTTCCCCTCCCCCATCAACCAGCTGCAGCTGCGCTCCTATTTGGCCTCCCAACTTGGACAGGTATTTATTGCTCTCTTCATCGTACAGGTTGCCTCACGGTTGTGTGGTCCCTAGGGCAAAAAAGATTGGAATAAGCATGATACATAAACCTCCTCTCACTCCCCCCCCCCCCCCAAACACCAGCCCACTTCCTTTAAATATACCTCTCTCTCCCGCTGTTGGATATCTTTAGTAAAGCTGTGCAAACGTAGAAAAAAAAAAAAGGTGCTCATCCATCTCTTCTGCGTACTCTTTGTCATTCTCTCACTCGGGCTCCCTGCCATTCCTTTAACCTGCGGTTGGTTAAATGCTACCCGCGCCTTGTCACACAAGGACAGATTCCGAAAAAACTGCACAAAGTTAAGCACATTCATTCATTCGACCTCCTCCTCCTCCTTTGGGTAGGAACTGTACAAGTTAAGTGTTAAGTTTAGGACATATGGGTGATTCAATGTTTTTTTTGTTTGTTTTTTCTCATCGAAACACTCACAGGGTTTTTTTTCTTTTCGTTCACCCACAAGCTTCACTCTGTGAGAAATATGACATCAAGCCTAAGAGGAGAGAACCCGATTGGTAAGTACACCTCAGCATTAAGAGGGGACCAATGTCATATCACCACCTGCTGTATATACATGTATACAATTATAAAGTGTCAAGTACCCGAAGCAGTCAACAAAAAGGAACGACGACAAAAAAAAAAAAATTAAGACAGAATCAAAAAGGGAAAAACAACAAAAAAAAAAAAAAAGCTGAAATTAGCAGGGCTGAGAGGGTTAAGAGGCAACGTAGTCAAAGCCAACAGGTACATCGACGATGGTAGTGCTTTAGAAACACAAACCCTCCACCCCTCATGTTCCCAGAGTCCTGTGACTGAAGAGCCCAGTAAAGTGGATTTGACTCGACGTGAATTAGTTTTTTGTTTTTCAATAAGACAAAACCATAGATGCATTTTATAGAGTAAGTAACACTTCAATCAAACCCTCGTCTGATTCTTTCTGGAACATTTAGAGAGAGAGAAAAAACTGTTGCATCAAAATTGTGGTGAGGTTTACTTGCATATGCCATGTTGTGGCAATGTTGTTTCTATGGTAACTGTACATTTCAGACCTGCAAAAGAATAGAAAAAGAGTTGTTTTTCACTGGGAGGATTTGTCCTCGCTTCACCCGTACAGCAGCCAGAAGGTGCTTGATAGACACCTTGCTTAGAGCTTGAAGGCTGTGAGGACAAAACCAATAAAAATCTAAATCAACTGCATAGTTGCTCCGCGTTTCTTTGTATCTATCATACATTTGCCTAAGCACATATGCCAATGTATAAAACCCCTAATATATTATAAAGAAAGAAATGGCCCAGAAAGTGGACGTCATGGGTACATGATTTGAAGCGTTCTTTGCTCTTCAACAGATAAATCGACTCAAGTGCTTGCAAGTCTACTCCATTTCCTAAACAAAAAAGGAAAAAGAAATATAAAGATTAGATTTTTTGTGACACCCTGATTTGGTTTATAGAGGAATAGTTAGTTGTTGTTTTAAAGTTTGCCTTTGTGTGTTCTTTCTCCTCTCTGTTCACTGGCCTGTCTCACAGGCGGTGCAGATTGACTATGGTGTCCAGCAGTGTCCTTGTCGCCCCTGCAGTCTCAGGGCCCTGCCTCCCCTGCAAAATCCTGCAGCTGAGGACTGTGTGCATGGGCTCCAGCAGCCCCCTCCAGCTCCGGCGCCGAGGACGCATCCAAGCGCCGCCGCCCCCTGATGGTACGAGGCCCGGGGGGCCCCGTTTCGGAACCGGGGCTCAGCAGGCCCAGGGGGGCGTCGAGGTGCCCCTGCTCCCGCACCCGAGGCTTTCGGCCTCGACGAGAGGGGATGCCGTTGCAGCCGTCCTTCTTGAGGTGGCGGTGCAGGTGATCCGAGCGCACGAAAGTCTTAAAGCAGCTTGAGCACTGATAGGGGCGCAGGCCAGTGTGCACGCGCATGTGGTTCTTCAGGTCGTAGTTGTGAGCAAAGGCGGCTCCACATTGCGTACAAAGGTAAGGCTTCTCTCCTGTATGCTTCCGCATATGAACCTTGAGCTTGTCCTGCCTGGAAGAAAGAAAAGTAAACAAAATCACAGACAGAATACACAGACAAAAGAAATACACGATCAACCCACACCACTCAGCACAAACAGCCAGCTTCAGGTTTTCGGCTACTAATCAAGCCAAGTAACATCATGTACAAATATATAATTAACTTGAAACACATTATTAACTCTCATATGTACAGTGGTCAGCTTAATATGCTTTGGATGGTTTTAGTTCCTATTAAAACGGCCATCTTTTGGATCTCTTCCAATGAGATTATTCTGTGAGGGCAGCCGGGCCAACTGAGGAGAAGCCATAAAGCTCACATCTTTATCCGTGTAACTGCACACAAGAGCGCAACTGTGGACTGACGAGAAAGCTCAATGTGCACTGTGTCAGTTGCCACTTTTACGATTTCGGTTAACTTTGAGGACGTCGCCGTAAAAACAATTGACGGATGACAAAAAGTTTTGTGAATCGAAAATGAGGACTTCGAGCCAAACAGTTCCAAAATCATTTTGAAAACTTGACGTTTAACGTCGAGTCGTACTGAAATATAGATGAGTCTGTAAAGCGTCATCAATTTCACAGCCTGCTTCTATCCCCACGAGCTGTAAGCTGATAGAATTTTGCATTAGAGCAGTTGTCACTTCAAAGATTATCAAATAGCTCGTATAGAAGACTTATTTTCCAAAAAGCATCAATTCCACTTAAACCAAGACCAAACTGTGACTTCAACTTCATCTCATGACATCCTGGAACATTTCTTTACTCTGCGATGGTACACCAGACTTTATCAGGCTGCCTTAGCACTCATCTGACTCTTGTCCTCGTACCCCCCACTCCTCCCACTATCTCTCGAGCTCTTTAACCCTTTTGCACTCGGGGCAGAGGGCTCCTAAACAAACAAGCATAAGACAAGTCTATTTGAAAACACACACACATGCCATGTAAGTGGATTAGCTGTCATACAAGCAACAAATACGCCGGCTGCAACCCATCCCGGTCCGAACAAACGATGCCCCAAATGTAAAAAAAATAACAAAGAAACATTTAGTGAGGAGAAACACACGGGGCCGAAGCCTTGGAAAAGAGTGGCACACTGACAGAGGTGAATTATTTAAAGGACAGGAGTGATTTATTACCGTGCGAGGCACACTCTTAACCCTGATCAAACAGGATTAAGATTACAATACCCCCTTCCCACTGCCGAACAAATTTAGCTGGAAGGCAAATTCAGATTGGTCTTCCCTACCTGCCATGCCAGCAGAGGTTCTGGGTATTTCTAGCCTACTGCATCCATTTCCAGCACAAGTCCACTGGTTAATTAATTAATTGAATTATTTCAAGGAAAGGGCAGGACTCCCAAATACAGGGAAACCACAGCTCACTGCTGTAGACCAGCCACATTTTACTGAGTGGCACATGGCAGATTTCATTAGAGAGGTAAAGGAGTGAGAGGGAGAGAGGAGGGTGGTGGTGGTGTAACTGCTCTGCCGTGGGCAATAATCAACATAACCAGAGATCAAAAGTTCAAATTATTGCTTTGGAGCACACAGAGTACCATCCAGGACCTGTAATCCCCCTCTGTATCAGAACACAGAGCTTTATAGCAGCCCTCCACTAGATAACACCGCCATGGCACGGACTTCTTTTATAGGACCCCTATGTTCCATTTCCAGGACTTTGCTATGAAGGCTGTCCCAATAAAAAAAACCTTTATAACTTTTATAATCCGACCCCCCCTCTCTCAGCAGGAATATTCTACATGCCATTTTGATCAGCATTTGGCTACAGTGTGACATTGAAAAAGCCTGGTCAGGGGATACTCTGTCAGCCCACGGCCAAGGTAAACATTTAGATTCACTGCGCTGCCTCCTTAATGCAAAGCTAAGTTGGTTAGCGCTAATACTCCTGGCTGTGGTGTTTCCCTCTGCTGGGACATTTGTCTGCAGTGCCAACTCCAAGACTATTAGTACATGTGACATGGGGGAGTCACTTCATTAATTGGGCTTACCTGGTAAAGCGCACTTTGCAGATGGCGCATTCGTAAGGTTTCTCTCCCGTGTGCGTTCGGATGTGGCGGGGTAGCTTGCCTGCTCCTTGAATGACCTTGGAGCATATGGGGCATTTCTGGAAGGCCTTAGAGCGCATCTTCCTCTCGCCGCCGCCGCCGCCGCCGCCCCCACCTCCTCCTCCTCCTCCTCCTCCAACCCCGCTGCCTCTCTCTCCCACTCCCCCCTCTCCTCCTCCTCCTCCTCCTCCTCCTCCTCTGTCTTGGCCTGTTCTGCCCCGTGACAACCAGAGCGGCGGCACTCCCTCTGTCACAGCCGCAGAAGCTGGATCCTCGTTCTGAGTGCTGTTAAAATAATTCAAGTAAAATTCCATGTCGGGGTCGTCCCCATCTCCCTGTTCCACCCCGGTTGTTGCACGGTCCTTCTGCCTCTCGATGGAGTCCATCATCTGCTGCAGGAGGGCACTGGCAGAACCCCTCTCCCTCGCCGTCGCCTCCCTACTTCCATCCTCCACCTCTGTCTCCTGCCCCAGCCGAGACTCCGGGGGGAGGTAGAAGTGCCCGTTCTGGGACGAAGGGAAGTAAGACGACACCAGGCTCGCTCCGTTCCCCTGCACCACCTCCCCGTCCTCATCTTCCTCCTCATCCTCATCCTCGTCCTCGAGCTCCTGTGTGGGGGCCTGGGCCAAGGCGAGGGCCAGGGGGGAGTAGTACTCACCGGGGCCAGCAGGAGCCCCGTTGCTGGGGATCCCGCCATTACCGTGGTTAAAGTGCAGGTGCGTGGGCAGGTCCCTGAGCTCTGGCGTGCTGCAGCTGCTGCTCCAGTGCGCCCCTCTCTGGAAGTACTCCAGGTACTCCCGGGCCCGCACTCGGTTCCCCTGCTCCCTGCCTCCTCTGCTCTTCCCCTCCTCATCTTCATCTTCATCTCTTCGCTCACTGCCCGCCTAGTGAAACATGATGGGGGAACAAAGAGAGTGAGTGCAGGAGGCATTTAAAAGTCAGTGAAAACTAAAAGGGGAAGACAAAGAGAAAGACAGAAGTACAGGCAGAAATGAAAAACACTATAATTAAAAAAGCACATCAGCTAAGGTGAAGGCTGACTGGAAATCTACAACTGTAAGGTCTATCAGCATAGGCAGATCCCTATCTGGGTATCCTGGATGCACACCCAGGGGTTTATTATACCCATGAGCACATGCATGTGCATCTCACAGCTACGCTTGATCACGCTGAAGTGTAGCTGCGATATGCTGTGTCCTGAGTTAGTGGAATCACATGCCGTCCTTCCACACACGCTATTGGCTCAGAATGAGTAAGTGTTGAACCCAAAGGCTGTGGGCGTGTGTTTGGCATGGTGAGAGAGACTGATAAAGGCCATGATGTAAGCTTGACTATGCTGGCTATTTAATGAGGGGGGTGGCATGATGCTTAGACACCCCATTCCAAAACACATCATCTTAGCATGAACTGCTTCTTAGATGGTGTGTGCTTTGCTATAAATTCGTTCAACCCTTACAATGGACAATGGTGTCACTAACTCAAATGTCATCTCAAAGCTTAAATTTGACTTTAAAGATCTATAATGGTCTTGTACCGGCGGGGAGAGCACTTTGGTGTCCAGCAGGTGCGTACAGACGTCCTTGACAGGCGGGAAGTCCAGGAGGCGAGCAGCAGCGAGGATGTCGGCCACACTGCTGTGACTGACAGTCAATGTAGCTGTGTAGGCAAAGTCCAGCAACGCTCCCAGAGCCTCTGCTGCCACAAAGTCGATGTTGTAGACATTCTGTTGGTCCGCGGCGGCCCCCGAAGTGAAGAGCTTGTGGAAGTAGGAGCTGCAGGACGCCAGGACGGAGCGGTGAGCCGGGAACTCCCGGTCCTCTGCAACCAGGAGCACGTCGCACAGCAGGCCGCTGAGCCGCTGCTTGTTCAGACTGCCCAGGATGTCTGCGCTGTGCTCAGGGAACGGGATCCCCACGGGGCCTTCTTCTGCCTCTCCTGCCCCTCCCCTCCCACCTCCACCACCGCCGCTGCTCGCCGTCCCCCTGAGCCGCCTTCCACCCCTCCCACCGGCTCCTGACGACATCTTCCACCAGCCTGCCGCCGAGCCGCCTAGCACAGCCCCCACCCGTGTATCCGTCCTGCCGTCTGTCCGTCTGCCTGTCTGAGAGCAGAAGAGTTGGATGGAGGGGAGAGACGAAGAGGAAATAATAGATCAGTTCATGACATTCTTTATGTGGATTAAGGAAGAGAGAGGAATATTGATTTATTGATTCACCAGTCACACCGGGATGCTCCTGAACACAACACAGTACACACAAAACATGAGGACACCAAATTTTAAGTCTTAAGTAGTACAAGTGTAGGGTTTACATCAATTGTGATGATTAAAAAGAACACTGAACCCAATCGATTTCAAACCAAGATTTTATCGTCACGGCCGGGAAACAGACCCGTGTATATATATATATATATATAAATAAATATAATGGCCCTTCTCTTATGAAGTCTTTCTATATATCTAAACAATGGGCCCCTCTGTTACCATATACGTAAGAACCACGTAGATACTAACATACCAATAGTAGCATACACTGTCATATATATATAGACAGAATGCTCACATATAGACTCTGAAGTATCTTAGCAAAATCTACAAAGTGGGTCATATCAGGTTGCATGCCAATTAGTATTGTGATCAGATGTAAAACATGGTTGGTAATCACTCTTTTGATGGATGATCTTTCAAAGACATCACAACTCAAGAAAAAAAGACAAAAGTCAAAAAAAAAAAAATCATGGCGACATCTGTAAAACACAGACAAACTGCAAATGACAATGAGATACCGCTATAACGAGTTAAACGTATTGTTCCTCGACCCTATATATCGTATGCTTATGACCTTCATTCAAGGGAACTGTGAACAGACTTTTTCAGTCTCTAAATAAAATCTACAATGATTCACTCCAACAAGTGATTTTTATTACTCAGTATATTAGCAATGCAAAAACGTCTCTTCTGATTTTTCACATTGACAGTTTAATGAAAATACGTGATTTTATACCCCAGCCTTTAAAATCCTTCACCATGATTTCTTACTTATACCCAAAAAGGACTAATTAAAGTTAAGACATTTAATCAATTTGTGCCGAGCTGAAATTTAACTTCACAGTATAGACTTTTTATTTGCCACGTATGTTGAACCCTGCATCAATCTTCTTTGTAAAGCGTAGCTCACGTAATATAGTGACACAAACAGACAATTCAAACATTTCTCTGGACTCAAGAGCCTTGAGCGTGTGTCCGAGGTGACTGGAGATATGCTACACAGCAACGCTACAGTGCTGCACATCACAACTGCTTGGAGCTGATTTTAAAGCAAATCGACTGGCACAACAGGTGTATTTACAGATTTACTACATCAAGTGTGACAATGTACAATAATGAGAGTTCCTGGTGGCTCACAATTGTGAATGCATCATTTGGCCAGGCATGTTGCCTGTTATTAAAACACTGAGTGGATGAATGAGTAAGTGAGGCTGTTTATGTGCTATATTTGTCTAGGCAGGTGGCGGTTTCCTTGTACACACCTATATTTACGTGTATTTACGTGTGTGTGTGTGTGTGTGTGTGCATCCAGTCGTGCAAGAAACCAAATAAGAGGACGTGAAGGACGGATAGGCATAGGGCAGCGGGGATCAGAGTGCATGCTGGGAGCTGGACTGTGCAGCTTGTTCACTCTGTGTCAGTCAAGAGTTGGGGAGGGGAGGGAGGGAGGCGGAGGGAAAAGGTGGGGGAGGGGGGGGCTGCTGCCAGAGCAGACCCTGTGGAAAAACTCCACAAGAGGAGGAAGAGGACACGCAACAAGCTGCGAGGGAACAGTATTAAAAAGGGAGGTTGTCAATCCGGTCTGAGCTGGTTACCCCACCCTGTACTGTGTGCCAAGTTTCAGGAAAGGCCGTCCCCTCGCTCACGTGTAGGGGGGGGGGGGGGATTAAAACGATCGACTGAAGCCTGTGCAGTGGGAGAGGGGTTTCATCAGAACAAGTCATCCTCGATTGCTCCATTAACACACTCGCACACGCACAGTACAGCAAATATACCGTAACATCACGGAGACGTCAATAACACGCAAAACGCACATAAGCACACACATGTAGGACATCCAACCGCTCCAACCCTCCCCTTCACCCTTCTCCATCTGGCAGGGAGACACAGCAGGGGGTGAGGCCGGGGGGTGGGGGGTTTGGAGGGTGCATTGAGTGCGTTGCTCTCGACAAGAGCGGGGCTTTCAAATGACATTCCTTCAGATTAGCCCTCATGGTATGTTTGTACACAACACCCCACTACCAAACCTGCCTAACCTGGCCGCCTCTCCTCTATGTTACCTGTGTTCACCTCTCCTTTTCTCCCCTCCGATACTTGTAAAGAGAAACGCCTATCTCCACACCTTGGGATCTGGCAAACATGTCGGCTCTGCCCACGGGTGAAAGTAAGGTAAAGCCTTCATAAAACACATCTCTACAGAGGTGGAGAGGAGAGCGGGCGTTTGTTCAAACTCATCATGATCCTCCAAATGGGTCAGTGACTGTTTTTATGACAAAGTTTGTTCATTCAAATAACACAGGTAATTAATGGTAAAATGTTTAACGGCTCCACCGTCTCTCGCTCCATACTGTACGTCCCCATTAACTCAATTAAGTTCTGATGGGCAGCTGACCACAAAGCCTCTGCAAACACTGCCAACGTCTCACACAAAGCCCTGATGAAAACGGACCGTCATACATGGCAAATTTTATGATCCAAGCCCTCATTTAAATATGCTGAGGTGAGGGAGACAAAGAGAGATGGCCCAGGAGGGAGAGCGAGGCAGAGGGAGAGTAGAGTGGGAGGAGAAGGAAGAAAAAGCAAGACAATAGGGTAACCGCATTGGCTACTGGTCACGTCCTTCACAGGTGGAAATAGATCTCTGTGAGCCCATCCAGACCCGAGCCAACCTGCTCTTCTCTTATACACAGACACACAGCTCCTGCACTAGACCCAGCTTTGCTGCAAGCTTGTGTAGCGAGTTATCCCCCGTACATATAGCTGACCTTGGGTCACGGCTTTGTCGGGTAAGACGTTTAGCTGAGAGGAGATAAAACACAGTAACACACACACACACACACACGCACGCACGCACACGCGCGCGCATAAACGACGCACGGAGGAACTACTCTGTCCCCAAATGACCCCCGCAAAGAGCACTAAGAGAGAGAGAGAGGAAACAGTGCAACAAACCTGATCCCGACACCTCCTCATGGCTTAAAAACATTCCTTATCACTAATTCATGCCTGTGGGTGACGAGGCCCGCAAACCCAACACAACGCGGTGCAGCAGCTTTCAGAGTCCCTGGCCGCTCCACTTCCAGGGAAGGTTCCTTCTCTCAATGCTCACTGGAAGAGCACCCAGGCCTGCTTTGCAAGTCAAACGACTGCTTTAACACAGGACCAACCCCTCTCCGCCCTCTTCACCTCCACCTCATCCGTGACGTCCCTGCACCCCCCCTCCCTCTCCCATATATATCTACACACAGCAATATCGAAGTCACACTTGAGGAACAAAACAACCCACACCGGTCTGCTGCAAACCAGTTTACTGTTACTTCAGATGATGGTGCTGTGTGTGTTCTTACCATCCATGCCAACACAGTCACACCCAATTTTTCTTGTCATTCACCGACAAACACATTGGCATCAGGCTGTGGCAGCAGTTAGTAAAAGTGTTTTCATAATGCCTGAGATGTATCATCTAAGGACTGCAGAATTTCCACTCTGGGAGTATCTCTGTCTTTGGCTGACTCATACCAGTCATTCCTAAATACAAAAGAAACAAACTGTTAACCCTGTGTAACCTCAGATGCTTCTTAGATAGAAACAAAAATACCTAACTGACACTTTTTAGTTTATTGAAGTCTAGAAAAGCAAAAAGTAGATAATTAGTATCGGACTATCAACAAAAGTCAGGTATTTAAATGGATACTACAACTTTTGATTCAACCCTACTGAACTGAAAAGTAAATATCCTCTCTTTGGCTTCATTTTATTAAACATTGAACTCATAACTAGTGAGAAACCCAACTTTAAACGGGAGCAATCAGAGCAAACATAACTGAATCATTGATCCCTTAAACCTTAAATGTTGATGGAGCACAGGTGAGCCACATTTGTGTACTAAAATACAGCGCAGTTATTAATTTTATATCACCATGTGAATTGTTATTAGCTTGTTGCTTTTACAAGAGAACAATTATATCAGGATACTCCCAGTTTTACTCAACTTAATGCATGCAAGCGTTTTAATTAAGTGCTACAGAAATACAGAGGCAAAGTCTGGACTGAAAACAAGTGAAAAATCTGGACATCAAACAAGAAGTTGAAGAATTTGGTTGGCCCTTTGCTCTCCATGTCCTGACCCTTTCTTTATCATTTCACTGACTATCTCAACTGGTGTTTGAGGCAACAAAACCTGCCGACCCCACCCTGCTGCGAGGGAATCACCTACTCGGGTCAAGAGGGGTTCAAGGTTGGACCAAGATAATGGAAGATAATCGGAATGGGGAGGGGGTGGCAGTTCCTTGGAAGAGTGGCCACTGCCAAGTGACTCGCTGGTGTCGGTGGTGGAAGGAAACCTGATTGGTCATATTGCAAGAGAAGCAGGAAGAGGGCAAGTGACTGATAAAAACTGAAGTTGCATGGACTGGTCTCGGCCTGGCAGCTTTTACTAAAAAAAAAAAAAACGAACCAGGAAGTGGAGCCAAAACACAGACACAATGCCAGTGAAAAGGTAGTGGGTGAGGCAGGGCGTTACAACTCACAAGCTCAAATCGTAACTCCTTAGCGTTCAGTATAGATGCCGAGGAATCCGGCTCAGATGTCAATGAAAAACTCTCCTTCTGTTACCTGGTGTGACCTGCTTCCATAAGAGGGAAGGTCACCACCCACAAGTTGAGCAAAGTTTAATGCGAGGAAGCTAGCCAGGGGGTTTTATGATGTTATAAAAAGGTCCATGTTTGCGCTGCCAGATAGCAAAGGAAGTAGAAAAATTAAACCTGTAGCTGCTGTAATAACTCGTGGAAACTCTCACACTGTTCTAACCGTGTCAGGATTTTGTTTTCTTGCTTGTTTGTCTCAGTCAGACCAACTGTACAGCCACAGGCTAGCAAATAAAAAACACATCGTTATTTAATCCAGTGCAACGGCTGTGACTTACTACTTTTACCAAACTTAGGTTTTGACACAATAACAGAAATATGGTGATTAAACTCTACGGTCATTTTTGAGTCTGTAATTTGTGGTGTTGGATTGCATTATACTGTAATACTGTGCTCCTCCATATGTAAATATCAGAAACACAATATGATCATGTAAAGTAGCTCAATGCCACTCCGCTGAAATATACAGCATCAAAGAATTACAATAGAGTTGAGACAAGATACAAACAACTAAAAGAGTAATCTCAGCAAAAAAGTGATCGTTTTGATTAAGATAGTATTTCATGCAAGACTGTTGTATGGTGTCGTGCATTTCTATTCATCTAGTCACTCCATGCAGAGAAACACAACAGTGTAACTAATTCATTCATTTCATAATGTCAGTTTTTGTTAAGTAAATATAATATCAATAAAAGCCATAACCTTGAACACTGTTTTAGTTTCATGCCAGTTCAACTACTGTCTTTTCATTGTGAAGTCTCGAGTCCTATGACATGTCTTGGGACAGTAGCCTTTCATAAGCTGCAGTGTAACAAAACCACATCCACGGTCTGAGTCCCTTTTAGCTTGAGTAACACGCTCTGACACTGCCATGCTGCCAACCAGGAAGCGTAACAGAATTTAACACATGGCTTCAGAAGCGGCGCTTACAATCCGACACAGCGTCAACTCCTCCGCTCAGGCGGGCCAGTCGGTCGGTCCGCAGGCCCATCGTGCCCCGCGCCGCTCTGTGCATGCGCAGCAGAGGACTTCCTGGGAGTCTTTGACAGGCGTGTAACAGAACCCGCTCTGTTATCAGATGACCAGCTCTCTCTCCCCCCCCCCCCCTCTCTGTCTGACCCTCTCTCTCTCTTCCTCTCATCTGTCGCTTTCATCTCATCGTTGCTCCATCTCTGTCTCAGACTGTGCGCAGTAACCCACCACAGCACCCACTTCCCCTTTCCACTGCTGAGAAGGCAAAGCTTTGCAGACCCACCCACCCTCCCCTTTGTCTCGGCGTACTTCAATGCAACCCACCCGTCTTCTCTGCCGCTTCATCCTAAACCAGTTCACTAAATCAACATGCAGACAGATTGGTCACAGTTGGCCAGTTCTCGTACATCTCTACAACGGTGTTCAACATCATTATGACAATTCAGTTATGCCTTAAACTAATTCTCTTTTTTTACAGTATATTGAAAATGTAAAAATCCTCAATTAACATATCCCCAAAATACACCATCCAACTCCAAAAGTGTCAAAATCCAAGTGTAGCTCTACCCACAATCTGAAAAACATGCCAGCCTCTTCCTCTCACCCTCTAATTTGATCAGGTTGTGTTAGCCTCTCCATAATAAATGTCCCAGAAGAGAACAGAAGAAGCCCCTTTACTCCCCCTAGACTTCAGCACAACAACAGAAAAACAACAGAGAGGGGTCTGTCTATCTGCCTTGCCAGGCTGGAAGCTGTGGTGCACTGAGCAGCTGACCAGGGGAACCAAACATTAGGGGGGGGAAGTGAAGCTGCATTCACCAAGGAAGAGGCAGATGAAGGGATTCAAAATGTTTCAACAAATGTTTTTACAAATTAAAATCTAAAGATAGAACAGCAGCACATAAATGATGTTTGGTTTAAAAGTACAAAACAACTTAAGTTTTGATTCCACCATATGGACCCCGATGCATAATTTAACCATATAAACAAAACTTTGAACAAATGTAATGAGCGTTACATGTTTTGTATACAGCCAGCATTTCACTCTAAAATAAAAGCCTCAAACTGCCACGGCGACATCACGCAACCTGTCCTCTCCGTCTGTCTGAACCTGCTAGTTTCAGGCCATAGTGGTGGAGGCACAAACATACAGGAATATCAAACTGTATTCAGCCTCACCGCCAAATTGATGGGTGGTGTCTTGGACCTGCCCACAGCCACTGAAGTCCCCTGCAATTCCCCCGGAGTCTATTGTTGGTAACACACACACACACACACACACACACACACACACACACACACACACATGCATGCCTACACACTCACACACACACAAACGGCGTCCTAGTTTAACCTCTTGCTGGAATTTACTTAAGCTAACTATACTAATCTTCTGTAGTAGCAACTAGAAAGTGGCCTAGAATGAGGACTAATGCAACTAATGTTGTCTGTGACATTGAACCTTTTCTTCTACCGCCTTCTGAGAAACATTCCTAACACTTTCCCAGCATTTGGGCGTCTTCATGTGTCGTGCTCTTCTTGTACCCTCTCCGTGCCCACACGTTTAAAAAAAACAAAAAAAACAAAAAAAAAACGGGTTGAACAAGTATGTGAAAGCCAAAAAATATGCATCTGGTTATTGAGCAAGGCAGTCAGGGTTCCTGTGAAGTCTTTAAACCACAAGCCACAAGCAAGCGCGACCAGCACGGGCGAGATTAGAATCTGCGTTTAACAATATGCTGGGAAGGAAAGGGGTTAAGTTGACAGGGAGGGAAATATGTCATGAGATTGACCATGGTGTGAGCAGCTGAAAAACATTTAAATCAATCAAGTACACAAGTTCTCCAGCATAGCTAGCAGGACTTACGTTGTATTTGAATGTTGCATGGATGGAGCGTATACCCTACCAGTTGTCACAAGATGTGCCACATATTCTTCCCCTCGGCAGGAAGAGGTTTCTCAAATAATCTGTTACTCACCGCCTCACCTGTACTCTGTCAACGCGATCGCTCTGCCACAGTCTAGCAAACACTTGATGCAGTGGTTTTAGTGGAATTACTTTAACACCCCCTAAAAGAAGCAGCAGCACAGGCTGTGCAACTGTCTTCATCTTGTCCCTCTACTAATAATAGCAGCAGTGCCGTTTAATCACAGCAGTAGACAAAAGCATTCAAAGAATATTGTGCCTTAAGATGGAGACAACACTGATGCACAACACAAAGTTAGCCTGATGTGGAGGAAAAACTTTGCGACACAAACTCTTCCTCTGAGCAGCGTTGTGTGCAGCACCTTACACTCTGACCTATTTGCCATTCCCTCCTTTATCTGCAAGTGGGTCAAGAACTCTGAACTCTATCAAGCCCCATCTCTCTCTCTCACACACACACACACATACACACACAACACGCTATGGTATTTATTTCCTCCGCTTGCCTCTCTTGTCCTCTCAGTCACAGTGTGTGTGTGTGTGTGTGTGTGCGCGCGCGTGTGTCTTTGGAGTGCTTACCAAATAGGCAGAAAATGTTTCCTGGGCCCTACTTGCCTCCCCTGCCTGCCGGCCAGCTCTGCTGCCTCCGTCTCTGGGCAGGGCTCACGCTTTACCAGACAGGAAACTTGCGAGTGGCCGTAGTCATACAGGCAAGCCCTTGCCTGATCCCACACAAACAGACACCTCACCCCCCCCCCCCCCCACACCCCCCCCCCCCCCCCCCCCCCCCCCAAGCACCACCACCAGCGCCGCCCCCCCTCCGGTTTTAGCCCACAACTCGGCTCCGCATCCCCTGCTCTCATTGGTTTGACAGCTGCTCACTCACCACACCTCCTTGTCGGGATAGGCTGGCAGTTGTTCCCTTTCCTGGATGGCCATGGGCAAGGCACTCTGGGATATGGAGTTCTGAAAATCATCCGACCTGCTTTGCAGCCCCTCGTTGTGGACTACGAGTCCCAGCTCTCTCTGCCCTCACCACCTCCACTATCTCCAAGCCTGCTCTAACGTAAGCACTCAGGGCTGAATTATACACTACAGTATGTTGCTAGCAGACTGCCAGGTATTAAAGTACAGACCAGCCATCAAACAGGGCCGAGCTTCGTATGAAAAAAAAAAAACAAAGACATTTCAGCCTCGACTGCCAGAGCAGTAACATCAGCGGTGGATTCTTTCTTTGGCTCACACTCCAGTGACATTTCCGACACACTTAGAAACTCCTGACCTAAATTATGACTTATTCCTATTCCAAACAGTCTGGTGCCACCACAACATGCCCTGCGCACACAACACACAACTTGCCCCGCACTGAGCATTTCAATCGCCACTGTCTCGCAAAAGTTGTTGCCATTGCTGATACCTTGTCCAATATAATTATTTTTGGTTACTCCTTCAGTAACCCCCACCCCCCACCCCCTCTCGACAGCCCCCCCTCCTTTAAGTGTTTCCACCTGCCTGAAAAGTTAATGCCTTGAAGACATCCTATAAACTTTATCTCACGACCCCACAGAGGTAAAGAGCAGTACAGAGGAAGTACTTTAGGAGGATTTAAAAAAAAAAGAAAAAAAAAGAGGAACCTTGAGTAGGGACTACTGCTGCGACCCACCTCTCTTCTCCGGCCAACCCCCCCACCCTGCTCTCCTTTCTGCCCCCCCTCCCTCATTCCTCCTTCTCTCCTCTCCTCCTCTGCCCTGCTCCCCTCTGGTCGTCAGGCCCAGGGCAGACAGCGGGGGGGGGGGATGGCAGGGTGCCTTTAGCTCACCTGCGATGGCCGTGGTGAAGCTTGTTGTGGGTTAGCTCAGCCCTCTCCTCTCCTCCTCTCCCTCTCACTGTTGTGCAGCTTAAAGCCCCGTATGCGCTAACCAAGCAGCAGCAGATCAACTCAATTCCCTTCCTGGTTTCTGGAGGGCAAAGAGGTCCCTCCCTTTCTCTCTCTCTCTCTCTCTCTCTCTCTCGCTCTCTCTCGCTCTCTCTCGCTCTCTCTCTCGCTCTCTCTCTCGCTCTCTCTCTCGCTCTCACTCCCTCTCTCTCTTAAAGAAACAGCATTCCCCCTCCGTCTCCTCTCCCTCTTGCCTCTGTGAAACAAAAGTGAAGTGGAAATTTATTTTGCGCTCAAAAGTGGACAGTTGTCAAAGTCATAAACTCATTTAGAGATGACACAAATCATTAACCCATGCCTTTCCACTCTGTCATTTTACCGTACATGTCTGCCAATTTCTCCCATCTGTGGACACTCAGATGTTTGCTTTAAGGGTAAATGAACTGTAACTCTTGTCAATTCTCACCCACCTCGTGTCTCACTGCTCCTTTCTTTTTCTATGCGAGTCGAGTCGCACCCACCCTTTCTATTGCCTGAGGTCATGGTGTCCCACCCCAATAGCAAGCCATGGCACATTCCAGCACATACAGTAGGGGCTGCCAGCAACCCCCTTGATACACTTTCTGGCTCAGCCCACTCTCTGTACACAATACCTGCCAAGCTCCAACAGGTGAGGCGTCAGAGTAGACATTACTAAGTCGACAAATGTCTTATCCACAGTGGGAAATGGCAAGATCCCATGTGTGAATTTAAAAGCGACTGCACTTGATGTTGCGCCACTTCCAAACCGCCCACCCGCACGCCCCCTCAGTGAGTGCGAGCCAGCCATTGTACCGCGGAGTGGGATGGAGCACAAGATGTATTCGATGATTCTTTTTGCACCATCTGAAAGCACCGTTAAGTCACGTATTTCATGCACAAACTATTGAAAACAATACTTGACACAACGTTGCATGCACCAGTCTCACGGGAGCCGTGTCCCACAGTGCAGCAGGGCTTGACACTGGCTTGGCACTGCACAGACAACCATCAAGAGGAATCAAGGGGCTATTTGGCAGGGCGAGGTAGTGACACACCCTCTGCCTTAGAGGGCACTGTTAAGCACCGTCTCTGCTTTTAAGCACAGGGAAACGGCAGCTTTCTAAACTTCACAAAACACACATGAATTGCAGGTGAAGGTATGGTGCACATCGACTTGCTGTAATTTGCCAGGCTAAGTGAAGAGGAATGCAGGTGGATAAGTTGCAGCCTGAGTGAAATGAAAACCGCAGGATACACTGTCACATAAATACACAATATTTAACACAACTTGCCTTCTTATTCAGTTTTGGCCTCAGTCAGAATGAGTTGAGGCCTCTTTACACATCCATGGAGCCCATGGCTGAGATGATGCTCTGTCGTCTCTTCAGTATAATATGAACTGGTCCTCTCCAAGTCCAGACACCCGACATCACATCTGTGGAGCCCAAAAAAAAAAAAGGAGGCAGTTAGCAAGAATCCCTGGATTCAGGTCTTCATTTGACCCACCAACAAAGTCTGAAACAGTCAAAGTAACGCGTACTGACGTCAGTAGGAAACGGCTGGTGCTCGCAGCATAAGTAACGTTAGCTTTATGTTGTAATGTCGACATTAAAGTTCAGTTACTTTTTGTAGTTCACGGTAACTTTAACACGCTTTCCTCGTATAAGCTAGCAAGCTAACGTTACTCATTTAACGTTAGCTGCTCGATGCTGAACTGAGAGCTCGAGTAAAAAATAAATGATAATATATTTTATGAATATGTATTAAAATGAACACTTACCCAGTTTGAAGTTAGAACACGTGGTAATCCATCTCTCAAACTGTCGCTAGCTACTTTGTTTGTTTACTGAAGTTTAGTTTTCTTCATGTTAATCGGTCAGACACCTGTCAGCCAATCAGAGACCAGTACCGACTGACAGGCTTCTTACAAAGAGTCTATGGGTAAAACATTTCAGAGAAATATCAAAGTCCTCCAGGTAGCTATGAATGAAAACATGTGAGGATTATGAGACAATTGTCTCATAATCCTCACATGTTTTCATTGGGCCCCTGGGCACAGACATGCAAAAGAACCCCAAAAGTTATTTAGCCTCTTTTTGTTTCTTTGTTTCTTTGTTGTTGCTGTTGTTGTTGTTGTCAGGCATCTCTCCGTGGTCACTTTGTGGTCATTTTGTATGGCGTTGTTGTTGTTTTGTGTCACTTTGTAATTGTTTTGTTGTTGTTATTATTTTCTTGACAATGGAAGTTGTGTTCCTTTTTGTGGTCGTTATGCGTCTCTGAGTAGTCACTCTTTGTAGTTGCTTTGTCTCACTGTAATTGTGTTGGTGTTTATGAAGTTATTTTCTTGTCTGTGGATGTTTTATAGTCATTTTGAGTCACTTTGAAGTTGCTTTGTGTCTCTTTGTAGTTGTTTTGGGTCTTTTTCTAGTCATTTGAATCTCTTCGAAGTTGCTCTGTTTCTTTTTGTAGTCATTTTGTGGTTGTTGTGCCCCTTTTCATAGTTGTTTGTGGGTCTCTTTGTAGCTGTTTTGCATCTCTTTGTATCTGCTTTGGTCTGCTTTATAGTATTTTGGTGTCTCTTTGTAGTTGTTTTTTGTATCTTCCTGGTTGACATGTGTCGTTGAGTGTAAGTGAAGGCCCTGACACTTTGGGCCCCTGGGCCTGTGCCTTGTAGGCCCATTCAATAATCCATCCACATTAGAGAGTCTGAATATTTAAATGTCCAGAAAAGACAACAATAGATATACAATACAACCAAGTCCCCATCAAAAAGTATAATTTGTATAAATGTTATTTCTCTACATGCTGTTAAAACCTATAATAAATAACGTTGTAATGGGGGAAATCTTTTTTTTATGTTATTGCATTGCCCTCAGTGTTCTCTGTTATCTAGGGCCCTGACTACAACCATATGAACATATAAACTAAATAAAGTAAATCATTACAGAACAATTCACAAGTGGCAGCTACTCTAAAACAGCTAAAAAGTGTAAAACAATTACATATTTGTTGCTTCATTGTTGTCTGTATGGTTAAAACGATTTCTGGTAAGTCTGTTAGCGACATAGATGTATAGTGACGACATAGCGAACAGCAATGGCTGCGTAAATAAATAACACCTCACAGTACATTGACAAATAAGTTTTATTTTAATCTTTTTATACATTATAACCATATCCAACACATTTTTATATTATAATAAAATGACTCTTCTCCCTTGTCATGTACATAAATCAAAAATTTGTATATTAAGACTGCAAAATAGTACTCCTGTAATTTTTGAATATAGCTTTGTAGACATACAAGTGACAACACATTCATTTTGCTCTGAACAAATGCACATTTGGGGAGGGGGGGGGTAAAGAAAGGACAGCCATAAGCAGAGAGAATACAAGAGCTCTAGCAAGACGGCAGGCTAGCAAGTAACACCACCATGTGACCAACACTGACTTGGGTTAAAATGTTCAAACCCTTTGTACTACTTGACTCGTCTGAAGTCTCATTCAATGTTGGGTAGTATTTATTTTTTACCACAATTAATTGGGTTGAATCACAGAAATTACTTCAACCCAAGTCTCTTCCAACAGCACGCCTCTCGGCTGGTTGTGTCCCAAGAGAAAGCTCGGAGTGCCACACATAGTACAGTGAAACCATAACCAAATACACTTCAGGGGAAAGTACAGACCAACAACAAAGAAAGAAAATACTTAAATTAGTCAATGTGATTGGAATATCATATCGACATTGCAGAGATTCAGGCTTTTGATAAAAGAAACACCAGCAAATCATCCCCATCATGATCTTGGGAAATAAAATACACATACAGTATTATAAAGATAATAAACCATGCTATATCATCCCATGAATACATTTCGACTGTTTTTCTTCTCAACGTCAATAATGGAGATTCTGGCATTTATCAGGCCTACACAGCATACGCCTCCTCCCATGGGAGAGACACGGTGTGGGATGCACATTGAAATGTATGTTGAGGAAACAAGGTCAACTCAGTGGAGCTCACTGAATGAAGAAAAAACAAAATCAAAACACTAAGTACGCTGATATACTGTTCATGAATTTGCATACGAAATCAAAGTTCTCAGGCGTTGAAAAACTTTTAGTCACGAGGACCCTCTTTGGTTTGTGACATTGTTCACAAAGTGATCTTCAGAGTGATCGCTCACTTACCTAATAGTGAAAAGGACTCCTTATACGCCTATTTGTCCGGCACACTCTCTACTGACAAATCTTATTACATTGGAAGTAATTGCAAGGCCTCTGCTGAGAACATGTATGCATGAGTAAGGTTGACGAAGGGATTTTAAATCAAAGTAGCTGCAGTCACCTTCAATAAAACCACTTTAGAACTTGCAAGCAGGTGATATGTTTAGATTTCTCCGTTTGGAAATCTCTACAGCAGGTCATTTATTAAAATACAAGTCCCACAAGCCATCAACTGTTGCCATACAAAAGATTAATACAGAATATTTGTATATTCGACAATCAACAATACAAAAGAAGTTTGTCAATCAATCCAAATTCAGCTGACACACCGGCAGCCCTTCAGTGCTTTACATCCTCTGTAGCGGTGGGGAAAAGTGAGCTGCGGCTACTCTTGACACTGGCATGGTGAAGCTGTGGTCTTACTGTACAACGACTCAAAGGGCTCTGCTGCTGGTGAAGAAATAAATGGGCGAGAGGGGGGGGGAAGGGAGAAAACCGTACCCAAGAGCAAGATGGGGGGGGGGGGGGGGGG